TAGTTGCTTAAGGGTTTTCGCAGAGACCCGATATTGATTTTGATCAAACATATTCTCCTGTAATGGATGGAATAACGTTCCGCTATTTGATATCTCTGGCAGTAAATATGAATTTAGATATGCAGTTAATGGATGTCGTGACCGCATATTTATATGGGTCATTAGACACAAATATATATATATGAAAATCCCTGAAGGACTAAAAGTTCCCGAAATAAAGGGAAATGAAACACGCAACATATATAGCGTTAAATTACAAAAGTCATTACATGGAAGCAGTTAGGTAGAATGTGGTACAACAGACTGAGTGAGTTTTTGTTAAAAAATAATTATGTGAATAATGATGTGTGCCCTTGTGTATTTATAAAGAAGTCAAAGAATGGTTTTTGCATCATTTCAGTTTATGTCGATGACATAAATATAATTGGCACACGAGAGGAGCTTAATAAAGCTAGCTCATTCCTAAAGACGGAGTTCGAAATGAAAGATTTGGGTAAAACCAAATATTGCTTCGGCCTGCAGAAATTTTTGTACACCAGTCAACATACTTGAGCATCTCCCTGAAGAAATTTTTGTACACCAGTCAACGTACTTGGAGAAGGTTTTAGAAAAATTCTACATGGACAAATCCAATCCACTTAGCACACCAATGGTTGTTCGATCCCTTGAAGCGAATAAGGATCCATTTAGACCTAAAGAAGATACCGAAGAAAATTTAGGACCAGAAGTTCCTTACTTAAGCGCCATTGGCGCGTTACTTTATCTTGCAAATTGCACCAGGCCTGATATTGCATTTGCAGTAAACTTGCTAGCATGATTTAGTGCTTCTCCTACGAAAAGACACTGGAATGGAATTAAACATATTTTTAGGTATCTTCAAGGTTCACAAGATCTTGGTTTATTTTATAAAAATAACCAAGATATGACATTGGTGGGTTATTCAGATGCTGGCTATATGTCTGATCCCCATAATGCCAGATCTCAGACTAGTTATGCTTTTCTCTGTGGTGGTACTGCAATATCTTGGAAGTCGGTTAAGCTGTCCATGGTCACTACATCTTCAAACCACTCAGAGATAATTGCTTCATATGAGACTTCACGAGAATGTGTATGGTTAAGATCTTTAATACAACATATTCGTGGGTCATGTGTAATTACAAAGGATATAACTCCCACTGTCCTTTACGAGGATAATGCAGCTTGTGTTTTACAAATTAGTAGTGGATATGTCAACGGAAACATGACAAAACACATTTCTCCAAAATTCTTTTATCCACATGAGCTCCAGAAATACGGTGAGATTATTGTACAAAAAGTACGATTTAGCGAGAATTTTGCAGATCTATTCACCAAATCCCTTCCTACATCTACTTTTGAAAAATACATTTATGGTATTGGTATGCATAAACTAGGAAGATTATTGTCTTCAAGGGGAGAGACAAACTCAAAATAATCCAGAAGATTAGGTCCTGAAGACCAAATGTTGTACTCTTTTTCCCTTAACTGAGGTTTTGTCCCATTCGGTTTTTCCAGCAAGGTTTTTAATGAGGCAACAGAGATGGAATATTCACATGAATAGTGTATTCTTTTTCCTTCATTAGGATTTTGTCCCACTGGATTTTTCCTAATAAGGTTTTAACGAGACATATTCATGGTATAATGAGGATTACTGGATAATTGATATGATTCGTCATGATAATAAGAAGATATTGGAGTAGTTGTACTCTTTTTCCTTCGATCAAATTTTTTCCATTGGGTTTTCTTGACAAGGTTTTAACGAGGCAGCACGTGAATACTCCAATAAAGATAATCTATTTGAGGGGGAGCAATGTTGTGCTTCCACAATGCTCAGGTTTTGTCCCAACGGGTTTTATTGAGGGAACAATGGATTGATTCTAAAATGATCAGATTTTGTCCAAGCTGGTGGTTTTACTGACATGTTGAAGCAGCGGTACTTGATGGCCACAAGATACACTTCAAGATGTTTAGATTATGTTTTATTCGAATAATGATATTTAGAAAACAATCATTCAATGGTGAATGTTATAATATATGTGCATGCACCTCATGAGGTGATAAAATAATATATATGAATAACTATTTAGCCATTGATGTAATTGTATTATTACGATTGTGCCATTAGTAATTTTCCTATAAATAGGGGTTTCGATTATAATGAAAAACACACCAAAAGAATACAATTTCTCTATTCTCTATATTCTCTCTTTATATCTAGTTTTATAACAATAGCTACTGCAACTCTTAAAAAAATCTCATTCTCTTGCAAGTAAATGAAAGACATCTCCGTGTATTGGGGGAAAAAATCACCACTCTCATTCCTCTACAATCAAATAAACTATGTAACATTAAGGTACTCTCTATGTTATTCTAAGCCCATGAAAATTATGTCTGCTAGTATCAGAGATTGGTTTATGCCACAGTGGAGTGCATCACAGCCGTAGCGAAGATAACATAAGTACTAGTCTCTTTTATTTGGTGATATTATATATCACAGTTAGTAGCCATTTTTGCTTGCACCAAAGCTAACTGGGGTGATATTTTGTGTAGCCATTTTTGTTTGCACCAAAGCTAACTAGGTTGTACATTTTGTTATTTTTTATGATCTGGTATGTAGTTGTTGGAATATCACTATCCCAAATTCATTCTAAGGGTAAATAAGTCTAGTTTATAAGTATAGTGGGCTATGAAACCTCACTAAAGTGTATCTAAGTTCACTCTCTTATGGTGCAGTTCACTAGGTGGGACTGCACCCTCTTCCCTCAGTTCTGTTATGGTATCAGAGTGAACCTGTCCTACGACCTGCAATCACTTTCTCTACCCTGCCTACTCTGAGCTTGGGCTTACTTTACCTAGCCTGCTTTGTGGGCTTGGACTTACGAAGGACTCACAAGCGAGGGGGCGTGTTGGAATATCACTTGTAAGTTGTCCCACATTGATTCTACAAGATAAATGAGTCTAGTTTATAAGTTTAGTGGACTACTCCTCTCATCAACAATTAGTTTTAGGATGAAACCTCACTAAGGTGCACCTAGTGGGCGAAGCTGATGCCGGTCTCTGGTCCCATGTCTCTGCGCAGTTCTCCCTCCTCAATGGGTAAATCTCGTTGGTCTCCATGGCAACTGGTGGTGGGCATGGGGTTCACAGGCGTTGTCTACCGTTTTTTCGATGGATGGTGCTAGGACTGGCAATATTACATCCCTTGGTTTCCGTCTGTTGCTCTTGGGGTAGGGATGGTCGGTCTCTTCCGACGTGCTTGGGTGTTTGGCTGTTGATTAGGTTTGTGGTTGTTGTATTTTTTTTCGTTTTCTCCATTTTGTTCAGACATATGCTGATATGCAGTCCTGTGATATTTTCGGCCCAGTTAGGGCCCTAATTATATACAGATTCGTTTGAAAGGAGGTCTCAACTTTGTTGATGCAGGTCAAGTTAGCCTTATCCGTCTGAGTGTCGGAGTTTGGATTTCGAGACCTGCGTTGAGGAGCTTTGGTCCTTTTTTAAGGTTGTCTTCCGTTGTTCTCTTTCATTAGGTAGATTGTTTGCTTCTTAGCGACAGTAAGGAGGGCTTTATTGTATTGTTTAGGTTTGTGTCTCAATTATTTTTGCTTTTCTTTTAAATTTTTCTTTCGGTCCAGTTACGTCTGACTTTTAAGGGGTTGTATTCAATTGAGATTCTTAAGGACTTTTTAAAAAAATTTAAATTTGGTGAATTTTGTGGACTTTGTAAAACTTTCATGACTTTGGTGGACTTGTTGAGACTTTCAGAGAATTTTCATTAGTGACTTTTTAAGACTTTCATAATGGACTTTTTAAAACTTATTGAGACTTTTGTATACTTGTAGTTATAATATTATGTTTGAATGAATTATTAATAAACGTAACATAATAACTAATATCAAGAAGAATAAAAAAAATATTTTATATATTAATCCTCTAAAAATTTATGAATCAACTCATTGTTAAATGAGTTATTCACTAGCAAATTATTTAGAATTTTTAGATTTATTAAACGAGCAAATTAATCCGAGCTTCAACGAGTCGAACTATGTAAGATACAAACATTGTCGAAAAACAGTAATTGTATTCTATAAATTTATCAATAATATTCAAAATAATTCAATATCAACAAATAAACTATTAGAAAATAAAATAATTTTATTAATATTAAAAAATAAACATTGACAAATAAAAAGAGAGAATAAATAAATTATTTGCAAATGCAACTATGGAAGCATTTAACCTTTGAAAAATCAAATTCACAAGATAACAAAATAAAAGAATAAATGTATATATACATAAAATAGCCATAATAAAAAATATATAAAATGATCACGTTAAATATACGTAATGAAAATAAAAATTATACAAAGGTATCCAAATAAATGGTAAAATAATAAAGCATGAAAGTGATATGAGATTTAAAGTCATGTTTGAAAGAAAAATGAAAGGGAACGTGAAGAGAGTCACATAAGTCCAGCAAAATCTCACCAATATTGATGAGATTTCTGTTAAGACTTTCTCTTTGTAATTGTGTTAGAAAAGTATCTAAAAGTCTTACAATTTAAAAAGTCTCACAAGGTCTTCATATTTTGAATACAGGGTGACTTATAGAGACTCTCGAAAAGTTTTAATTGAATACCATGAGACTTTAAAGGGACTTTTTAAAAGTATTTAAAAGTTTCAATTGAATACATGTAAACTTTTCAGAAGTCTCTAAAAGTTCTGATTGAATACACCAGAATTCTGAAAGTATTAAAAAGTCTCTAAAAAGTTGAAATTGAATACACTCCCCTTAGTCTCTGTTATGAAACTTTTTTGTCTCCTTTTTAGGGTTCTTTTGCTTTGCAGGTGCTTGTATCTTTTGCTTTGACCCTGATTTTGTTCTGGTTCTAATAGTATGCACCTCGGATGTACTCTTTTTTAGTTTTTCAATTTTAATATATTTATTGCTTCAGAGGGGAAAAAAACACAAACACAAACACAAACACAATGAGATAGTAAAAACCACCTTTCCTTTCTNTATTTCCGCAGAATATCAAATCAGAGAGGGACGGAGACCATCATCCGTCCTACAACTAATATTCATTGATATGCACACCCTGAAAGTAATAGAAAAAAGGCAACCAACCGCACGACATTACAATATCATAATAATGGCACTTTACACCAAACTTCTAAGTATATTAGACAGTGTCAATTACACGCATCAACCAAAAAGAAAAAACTTTCATCTTCCAAAATCTATAAAGCACTGTTAAGCCTACATGGCCTGCAACTCCAACACTATGCATTACCTGGGGAACAAGAAACCCTTGTTAGTGAGATTAAATTCAAGCAATAAGTGTGTGTGTGTGTGTGTAGAGAGAGAGAGAGCGAGAAAGAGAGAGGTTCATACTTGTAACTATATGCAATCCAGATCAAATAAATGTCAACGAAAAGAAAAAAGCCAAATCAGAAGTCCTTTCAAAGCTTGCCATTAATCTCCAACTCCGTCCCACCATTTTCATCATCACGCCATAAAGCAGCCTCCTGTAGTAAATCAGAGACCGCATTCTAAAATGTCAATGGAAGCATAGAATCTAGTAAAACTTTTTGAATACCTTGGAAAATGTAAGAGTATCTCCGCTAAGCTTCCGAAAGGGACAAATGGAGTACTATATATTGCAATGACTTAATAAGTTGACCCAATATTCCACTGAATACAACTATAATGGTGATGATAATAATCATGGAATAGCTTTAAGTAATACTCTGCCATCAAAGACCATGCATTATCTAACATCTACACTAAAATTTTCTTCCGTAGAACTGATGCTTTAGTTGAGCTTATACCTAACTATCAGATGATATGGAGAATTCTAGTTCATAGGCAAGCAGTGCCAATTTCGACTGAGTAGCACGCACAGTGGAGAAATGCAAGTTTAAAAACAAGGAAAAAGTAGCCAAATAACTGATGGTGATAAAGAGAACTTATCAACATTTATTTAGATGGATATAAACATCGAAAGGAAATATACTTTTCACCCAGGCAGAAACCATTTTCCACATATTGCATTGTACCAATAATTATGTAACAAGTTGGAGATTAGAAACAAATCACCTCCGATATAACCAGTGAAATAGAAAATATCATTTCATAACCAATAGAGTACCTTACTGTCCTCAGTGCCTCTTTCAACATTAACCATCGTTACTTCTTCAACTGTGATGATCTTATCAATATACACAGTAGTCTCTGCACCCGTTGAAGCTTGCGTGACTGCTGGCTCGATATTGGGTGCAGGCAAGTGTTTCTGAGGTGTACTGCATAAAATAAAAAATAAAAAAAATAAAAAAAAATGACCTTGTACTGCATAAACGAATGTAAGAATCCAATCTTCAGTTGCTCAGGCAAGAAAGTACCATGGGGTGGTCTCCCCTGACCCATTTGCTATGTGATTTTCTTCCCTCCTTTTTTTGTTGCTTGGCCTCTGCTCAAGAATTGAATCGGCACATCGTTTGAGCCACGAGAAAGGAGCCGAGAGAGGAGAAGACGACTTATCAGACCCATTTAAACCAGATGCTTTATTAAGCCCGAATCCATTATTAATATTTCCATTTTGATCAGTTGGATCTATTTCTTCTTTACTCGCGAATCTTCCAGTCAGTATTTTTTGCTTGTTTGACTGCAAGTTGGATTGGTGCATCTCATGTACAGCAACAGAATCCAATCTTTCTTTTAGATCCTCCAATTTTTTCAAGGTTTCGATCTGAGCAAGAATCTCCTCTCGATCGGCCCGCAGCAATTCCCTTTGTTTCTCCAACTTCTCTCTCTGCACTTTAAGCTCTTCTATTAAATTACTAAGCTCAGCCCATTCTTGGTCCCTCCTTACACGATCCAGGTTTATATCTTTTCTTTCCGCATCAAGTCTCTCCATCTCAGAATTTATATGCTCCAGTTCCTTTCCAACTCTTTCTTTGAGTGAACTAATATGCTCGAGTTCTTTACTTTTCTGCCCTTCGAATTCCTTCTCTTTTTCCTTCAAGTAATTCTCGATCTCCTCACGCCGATTCTCGATACAGTAATTCACCTCCTTTTTTTGCATCTCGATATCCAGCAAGAACTCTGCGTGTTCTTTTTGAATCTTACTGAACCACTCTGCACGTTCTTTTTCGAGCTCGCTCATGAATGCCTCTCGATCACGGACAAGTGATGCGCGGTCGTGTTTGTATTGCTCCCTCAATGCTTCCTTCTCTGCTCTTAAACTCTCACGCTCAGCCTTCAAAAAATTAGAAACGGCCAGCCTCTCCTCAAGAATACGCGCTTCTTCTTTAGCAAGTTCTTCTCTTTTAACATCAACTAGTTCCCACTCAGCTTCGAACTTCGCCTTCTCAGTTTTGAGGCGGTCTGCCTCAGCCTCAAGTTCATGCTTTTGTGAGCTAATAACGTCAATCTCTTCTTTAAGTCGCAACTCAAGCGCCACTAGTTCATCTGTTTCTCTCCTCAGTGCAACTGCTTTCTCTTCTGCATCAATAATATGCTGTTCTTTCTCTTTCAGCAATTTAGATAACTTATCTAGGCCGAGCTGCTTCTGCCTTAGCTCATCTTTCTCTTTGCTGAGAGAGTTCTTCTCAAATTCCAACACTTCCTCGGCAGCCAAATGTTTCTTTTCTTTCTCTTCAATTGAACTTAACCTTTCGACCATCTCCTTCTCGTTTTCTTCAATGCGCCTCAATTTAATATCCAATTCACGTTCTTTGTCTGAGATGAGGTCCTCATGTTGCTTGATGTCTAATTCCCTCAACTCCCAAGCCCGCCTCTTGGCATCAATCTCATCATCCAGCAATTTGCGCTTCTTCTCTGCTTCAGCCTCGAAAATAGAGTTCTTCGAGGCTAAAGCTGCTTCGTGATTAGATAATGCTTGCTGAACCTTGTCCTGAATGAACACCCACACACAAATTGATTTCATATGAGCATAAATTAACCAAGACAACAGGATACCTCTTTTCGTAGCCGCAATTAACTAAAATAGTAGAATGATTAAGCTAATAGTGCTTGATTGCAAGCACAAAGTAGTATTCATGAAATATGAAACCCATTAACAAACAGGATGATTTTTTACTTTGACTGCTACCCATTGAAAACAACACATTCACATAAAATTAGTCAGCCATACATGCAACAAATTAGCATATGCACGAATAAGAGAAACATGTAAGACCAATAAATACAAAACAATAATTACAATATTACATGAGATATGCACCATAACAATTTTATCCCACAATAAATTGAAAAATTATATCAAATTATCAATTTTAAGTAGAAATAGAAATAAACAATAACAATGGATAGTCACACAATATATGGATGAGATATAATTATAGCATGCGGTGCAATAATGAACTAATCAATACATTTTGATTGCATCTTCAATTTGTTGGTGCTAAAAGTCACTTAAAAGCAAAAAGTACTCAGTCATTGCAGTATTTCTCCATTCAGTTGCTCAAAGTCGATGCCTAACTGAAAGAACATGCAAATAGAAATCTTGACCTACTATGATGATTTTTTTTGCATTCAGATTTCAGTACCACCACTTTAAGATAGCACTGTGTTGTCCTTTTATTGAACAGAAAGCTTACAGATTCCCTTGTGGAGATTTTAGATTGCAACAAAAGTGCCTCTTCCTCCTTTCTGAGAAGATCACATTCTCTTTCGATAACAGCCTAAAAGCACAAACAGTGGACTGTTAGAATAACCGTCTATTAAATACTTTAAATGTAGATTTTGTCTCAACCTAATGCTGAAAATTATCAACTTATTCACGTGCAAAATGAAAATGGAACGAAGTAAGTCAACCTCCTCTCTTGCTGTTAAAGAACTTGCTTTTAGCTCAAGAGCCACTTTCTCTTCACTTAAGGCTGTACGTTCTTTATCAATTTGCAGCTTTAAATCGCCCAACTCCTTCTCAAATTTCTTCAACTCTTGAGTTTTGCTAAAAATATACTCTTCCCTCTGGTTCAACAAAGCTTGACCATCGAGTAACTTTTCATGAGTATGCTGTAGAACTATTTGCTTCTCAGATAATGATTGCCTCTCAAGTTCAATCTCTTTCTCTTTAGCTTCAAAACTAACAAAAGTAGCAGGCCAGAACATTACAAATCCATAAAACATATATGATTTAAAATGATACAATTATTAGAAACATATGAAGCTTCAAATATCCACGAATAAAGAGGCGGCAAAATGATAAGACTAACCAAATAACTACATTCTAAACAGGAGCGGACACAAACTCACAAGACTAGGGGGGCATAAAAGTAACTTTAATAAAGTGCCAAAAAAATTGATAATTGTTCTTTCCATGTTCTCATGCAGTTTATCATTCATAATTACATTATTTCTGATCTTATTAAATAAATCTTTCAAACATCAACATAATTTTTTTTTTTTTGCTTTTGCATTGGATGTTTCTTTTAACGTCAGCATTCGTGGACTTCTACTTATAATATTTTTCCATAAAGGATCAAAAAACATACAAGTTGAAAAAATCAATGACAAATATAATTAGTAGCTAATTTAAAAATAGTAACTATCTTAAGAACGCCTGAAATACACTATGTATAAAATAAATAACAAGAGTTCAACAAGAGTTTTGAAATCTTCATTAGGGTGGCTTTTACATCAAATTATGAAAGATCCAAATTAAAGATCACATCATTTTCAAATTTGCAAATAAAAAGAGGGCACATAATTTAAAATATAGATTATTAAAAGATACAACCAAGTGAGTAGAAATAAGTAATCGGCTCAAAGATGGGATGGTGAAAGGATGTTATATTTTCATTTTTAGATAGAATTGCAACTCTTTTTTAATAAGAGTCAATTATACTTTCATAAATTTAGAGAAAAGAAATTGAACTAAATAATCTTCTTAATAAATAACTTAAACATGTTTTTTTTTGTGTGTAATATAAACTTTATAAATACTATTTTTTTAATTTCTTCATGGGCCGCTGCCTAAGTCCGCCTCTGATTCCAACAATTGAATTAGAGAACGTCTCTAGAAAATACAGAACATCTACGGTTACAAATAAACTAAACAAAATTGCACCTAAAACTCAACAGAGTCCAATTTCATGCATTTAAGGCTGAAAGAAGTCTACAGTGTGTATGTGTAGATAGCAATCTCATAGGCACCTTATAAAGAAAAGGGAGAGCATGTTTCTGAATACAGCTAAAAGTAAAAAAATCAACTAAAGAACTTACTCGGACTTTGATGACAAAATACGTCTCCTTAAGTCATCTTCACGTTCTTCAACTTCATGCAACTTTCTTTCGGCAGTTCGATGGTATCTTTTAGCCTCAGCTTCCAGAAATTCTGCTGCACGCGATTTCTCATCAGCCGCTGTCAGTTTCTCGATGGCATCATCCACCATGCTTCTTGCCTCGGCAAATTTTGTTTCAGAAGCCACCTTTACCTCTGCATATTCAGCACGCATCTCATGCAACGACTTCTCAATCTGCACAAAAATTCTAATTAAGAAACATACACCAATGGCCTATACACATGTAAACATCGAGAGTACACATTCGTAGGACAATACATTCTGAACGATTTCTTTCTCAATGCCTAAAGCTTTCTTGAGTCTGTCTTCTCGTTTTCTGGCTTCAGCCAAATCTGAGGCATGAGAAGCCTGAGCACACTTCATATTTAACTCAGCAGAGTCAGCTGCAGCTTTAGCATCTGCATACTTTGACAGCCACTCCTTGTTTTCCATGATGAGAAGACCCATTTGGTGCTGGTGCTCGTATATCTGATAAAACCAACATGCAAAATCAAAACTAGAAATACAAGCAATAACAAACAAATGATACCTCCCCAAGATCATATAGCCGCGTAATAAAACTAAGGGAATCCAACATATTCATTAATAGGCAACCATAGTTATGGGGAAAAAATCACCATTTATAAAATCGCCACCAATGTAGTAACCAATTAATGAAATAATTCCCGCTCGTTGGATTTTTGAATGGAACACCATTTTCCAATTAAAAAATGTCAACGTATACAACTTTTTCATCAAATTCTTACTTCTTAAGAAAGATCGCCCTGATAAATCAAAAACCCAAACCGCAAACCACCAAGATTATTACTAACAAAACACCAAAAATATAAATATGTAGGCACAGCATGACCAGAAAAAAGAAAAATCAGAATCAATAAAATCAGAATCTAAATAGAGTATCAATATATTGACACCTCGGCTTCTAGTTTCGCAATATACGCGATAAGCGAAGCTTTATCTCTGCGTTTAATGGAATCTTCGTCAAACCCAGCTTCTCGGAGCCGCTTCCACATGGCTTCATCGGTTAAAGGGGTTTTTAAAACCCTAGCAGAACCCGAATTCGGGGACTGCGCAATAGCTGCTGCACTCCTCGGAGTCGCCGCGATAATCTCCAAGCGAGATGCGGGGCTCGCCATCGATCGATCAGGAGCCAGCAGTCCAAAGATTCTCAGTAAAGTGTTTGTTTTTCTTGATTTTCACCAATCGAATTGATTGAATTTTTGAGTTGGGTTTTGCGAACTTCAGTTACTCTTTATGAGTTTTTGTTCACTTTCCTTTCTTCACTCTATCAGTCCACGTAACGGCGCCGTATCGGTATTAATTAAGCACTCCAGCCCGGTTCTTATTTAAACTACTATTCGATCTTGTGCATATATATATGTTTATTATAATAAATTATATATGTGTATATAATATTAAAATTATAAGTTAGATAATATATAGTAGCACATTTTAAAATTTTGTCATTTATTCAACTTTATCACTATATTTATTGCATAAAATGAAATGAATAATATAGTTTTTATAAATTTCAGGGATCGTGACCTATTAATTATCTTAAAAAACATTATTATTACTATATGTTGACAACCGACCTGATTTGTTGGGATTAAGGTGAAGATTAATGAGAATTATACAAGATCACTGCTCAAACCCGCTCGTACGCCTATCTTCACTCAACTCAGTACAAGCTGGACGTCAAACCGACTTCACTCACCAGTGTAAACCGACTTCGCGTTCAGGGCAAAAACGGACTTCTCAAAGATTCCTTCTCGAATGTTTTCCTTGCAAACTGAAGTCCGAGATGACCGAAACCCAAAGCAGGTGACAAGGCGCACACATAATTGGACCACGTGCAATATTGCAATCATTGTTGTCCACTCGCTGACCGACAAACTGCTTCATAAAGTTACTTCGTATTTAATGCGATCACACTTACCTCGTACACAAAGTCAAACACACACTACTATAAATAGCGGAATTTATTATTTTACGGTGGATTTTTTACGTACATGCAAAATAGCTCGGTTAACACATAAACCGACTTCTTGTACTTCGAAAATACACAGCAATAATACAGTCTCCACTTTTTAAGCTTTAATTATATTTTCTTATCGTTGTTAAATTTCGTAATACAATAACTATTTTAGATTGTAACGAAAAAAGGCAAAAAAAATCCAAATAGTTTCATTTGTTTTTTATAATATTTTTGTTATATATATATATATATATTAAAATTTTTTAATTAGTGAGTTGTTTAAGGTTTTAATTAAAAAATAAATAAAATAAAGTAAACATGTATTTGTAATATCTTTTGGAGGAAAAATAAATGAGGTTTTATTAATTGCTTTGCTAGAAATTATATATATAGATGTTATTGCCTTAATTATTAAACTGTAAAATGTTTCAACTTTTTTTTTAAAAATTGATTAGTACGAACACCCGTGTACTATAATGGTTTAAAAAATATTGTATAGTAAAAAAATGAATATATAAAAGTATTTTTAATATTATTGTAAAATAATAAAAATAAATGTACTACAAATAGTGAATAGCTTATACAGAGATATATATTTAAATTACCCTTAAATTGTTGAAAATAATAATCATTTTAATTACATTTAAAGTTATATATCTAACATATATATTTTTCATAACTCTTCTAATTTGATTTTAAATTTTTAGATTTCTTTCCAAACATGTTATATTGTAACTACGAACTACATTAATTGAATCGTTATGGCTTATCTATTATTTTTTCAAGTGTCATACATGTATTTAAATAAGTTAAAACTTGTGCATGTTAATATAACTCTTTTTATATGTAATTATAAATAAGTATACAAAATAAATAAAGTGAAGAAATTATAATAAAGTAATACTGATCATTTTAATCAAAATCACTTTTAATTTAATTGCAAGTGGTTATTTAATAACTTAATTATATACTATAAATTATAAAATTATTTTGAGCATGTATTTAAAAAGTTACTATATAAATATCATAATTTAATTATTTTATAACTTAAAATATCTCAACAGTTCTAATCCATTCAACACTTGCATTTCAGCATATCAGGTGGGGACCCCGTACTAGGTGCTACATTTTCTATAATCGCATTATTCTGGCTGAGGTATGTATGTAAGAGTTAGTTTGCATGAGTAGGGGCAATAACCTAGCGAGTAGGTCCTTTCTAGCTAAGTGATCCGAACGTTAGTTAAGTTGAGATAAGAACTGTAGTGAAGCTTTGAGTTAAGTTAATTAAGTACCTTAGTACAACTTTGAGTTAAGTTGTAATTCTAGATGTTAGAATATTTCTTCCCCAAGGGGCATCGACCTAGAGATAGGTTTCTTTATAGAGAAATGTTTCAAACTCTAGGTAGAATCAAGGACTCTAGTACAACTCTGAGTTAAGCTCCAGTTCTAGAATGATAGCTTTGCCCGGCAGTTGAGCAGCAATTATAGACAGTAAGTTGAGCAGCAGTTATAGACAGTAAGTTAAACAGCAGTTATAAACAATAAGTTGAGTGGCAGTTATAGACAGTAAGATAAGCAGTAGTTCACCGGCCAAGCCCGGAAGATTGAGTAGTATTAATAGACAGTGTACTTATTTATATGCCTATGGTGATGCGTTATCATATTAAATGTATGCTTAGGTTGTGATGCGTTATCATATTAGATGTATGCTTAGGTTGTGATGAGTTATCATATTAGATGTATGTTTAGGTGGTGATGTGCTGTCATACAGGATGTGTATCCCTATATCGTTATCTTCAGAGCATAGTGGTTGCTTGAGTATATGCTGATGTCATGATATGTTATTATATTAGATGTGTATTTCAGTGCTGGTTTCTGAGGAGTATAGTGGTTTTGCTCACGCCCCTACTTTCTATTTTTTTAGGTGACGGGGTCCAGCGTGGAGCGTGAGCGAGCTTGTGGTGGTGGTCAAGAACATGAGGATATTTTGAAACACACTTTTATGATATTATGAAAGTGCGTGCAAACTGAAATGTATAAGTTTATCGCGAGTGCGCTCAACGTTGTACGAACAAGTATAAAAACTACAATTTGCGGAAGCAATAACCAAAGATTTAAAAACTCTTCAGGGAAGCATCCCACTTCCCTTAGCTATGAAAAACATAGTTTGGACTTACACAATAGAACTCTCTTCTATTCTAGCCACACCTATGAACTAGCCTATCAACTAATTCTCCGGCCATGTCCCGTGGACTTATTATCCTACACTTACTCCCTAAGTGTAATACCAAAAATGTTTAAATCAAAATAAAGTAAAGAGTACAACCAAACTGATTTCAGTTCTTTTATTGCCGAGTGTATCAAGAACTGAAATTCATGAACAAAATCTGTAAGCACTTAGACTTGAGGCTTGAAGACGATTTCCAAGTGAAAATGATAATCAACAGCCCTTTTGTTCTTCAAGTCCGAAATATATATATGTACTCCTTAGGGTTGGAGTCTTTTCCAAGCATTGGACTCCAATCATGATTTCTTTCCTAAAATGTAGCATGTGACAATAGTAAGTGATAATCTTCTTTTCTCTCTCCAAGATCTCCTCCAAATGCACGCCTCTCTTTCCTTATTGCCTCAGGTTCCGATTTCCTATAATACAAAAACACATAATAAGATCAAATATTCCTTTTACATAATATAAGTTAATTTAGGAACCTTGAACTACATGGAACTTCCCTTATTTACGGATTTAGTGCATGCAGGAACTTCCTTTCAAACTCATGCCAAAATATTATATCTTTCGAACTATGTGTGTTGAGTACTTACTTTTTCGAACTATGTGTGTTGAGTACTCACTTAGCTTCCGCTTTATCAGACTTATTCGAGATTATGAGACTTACGACTATGCGTGCTTAATTCTAGATTTTCCATGGTACCTTTATTTCAAAATGGATAAGATGAGTTGAAATTTTAGTCGCATGTATGTTTGTCTAAGTTTCATAAAGAGAATAGTAGAAAAGTTTTAAATGGTAGCACGCCCGCAATTTTTATAAAGTGTTTTCGCAAAGGTTAACGAGATGTTTTTGAAAAAAAAAAAAAAAAATTTAACTCTGATTTTTATTATTCTAGTAATAGTAGGTGGGGTGTTACACAAGCCAAAATCAGAATTATTAAATAAAACTAGTCGTTCGTGGGCTCAGTTCGATTCGGATCAAGTTGAAAGCTCGTTTGATAAATGAGCGAAGCTCAAGTTCGTTTAGCTAACTAGATGGACTCTGCTAAATCTCTATAGTTTTGCTCGTCAAATATCGATAAATAGCTCGATGTGAGCTTGATAAGTGGATCATTTAGTTAACGAGCCGAGCTCGACTCGACTCGACTCGTTAAGGGCTCGGGCTCGAGCACAAGCACCATGAGCTTGATCTCGACCGACTCGTTTTCACCTAGCCAAAACCCAGAAATTAGGCACTACTTTTTTGCTAAAAGCCATGTTGATACATAACTTTATATCTATTGGCTAACTATTTTCGCTATACGCAAGTATATGATATAGTTATAGGTAGTGGCAAACAAGGTTGTATTCCACATGGATTGCATTTAAATTAAGTAAATATTAAAGTAATAGTGATTATATATCATTAAGCTAATGCTAATGTAGAGAATGATTTTATGAATCAGTAAACTAAATTACAAATCAAACTAACTAATAGAGGCACGCTGAAAAATATCAAAATAAACAAGATACGAAAGGTAGATTTTAGGTAAAGTTTTTCTCAGAATTGATTAATGAAATAATTGAATTCATTCAAATCTTATTTAATTTTACTAATTGTAGAAATAATCGATAAATTAGTTTAACATTTCTCTCGAACAAGTAAAATCGTATATTAATTGTTATATATCGCCCGTCGGTCTCAAGATGAACAACTAACTTCTTTAGTTACTAAGATTTTCGTTCTCTCCCGAAATTATATCACCCTTTCGTTATGTTTAGTTTCTTACGTTATGAATTTCATAATTCTAGCAATCGATTATCTCATCTCGGTATCAAATCGATTAATGTATGCATAAATAATCTTGCAATCGATTATCTCCTCTCAGTATCAAATCGATTACTGTATGCATAAATAATCGTCACTTACTCATACAAAAAAATTAACAAAAGAATTTCATAAACGAAAAAGAATCGAATAAAAAATATATCATAAATCAATTCGAGTACTAACAAATCCTAGAATCTAAAATAAATTTAGCCTAAGAACAAATCCTAGAATATAAAATAAATTTAGCCTAAGAACATGTTTATAAAACCAAAAATATATTGACAAAACATTGAATTTAGAACGAGGAAAGAAAAAGGAA